TCAGCCACACACAGGCCCTGGCCTCACCTCCGAGGCCAAGCAGGGTCCCAGGCCCACAGCTCTGGGTGCCCCTTGCAGTGTGCCCTGGCCCTTTTGACCTTCTTTGTCCTGGCCCCAGCATGGGCCAGTCAAGGGGGCACTCTACCTCTGGCCTCACTAGCCCCACACTCTCTCTGGGTCCCCCTTCTTGGATTTTGGGAGCTGGGGTAACTCACACCACAACTGGTGCCTCGGGGTCTCACAGGGGACTCTCACTCCCCTCCTGAGGCAGCAGGTCATGGTGCTACTTCAGATCTTACCTTTGACCCACACACTGCCTCCCACCAGTGGAGGACTTACCGAGGTCAGGACTCGCCTCTCTCACTCTGGGGCTGAGCCCCCGTTCACTCGGCCTGTGGCCCAAACCTCAGCCACAGGCATCTGAAGACTTACCTGGGCCTACTCCCCTTGCTTGGGGCTCCACATTACCCCCCTCACTTGGGGCTCTACATCTCTGCCCCTTACTAGGGGCTACCCCCTCACTGGGGCTCCACAACTCTGCCCCTCACTTGGGGCTAGCACACCGCCCCTCACCTGGGGCTACAGATCTCGGTCCCCTTCACTTGGGTTACCCCCTCACTGGGGTCCTAATTTCCACCCCCTCTCACTTGGGGCTCCAGACCACCCCCTTCACTGGGGCCACGGGGGGGGGCAGGGGGTGGGATTTGCTCCCTGGTGGGCTCAGGTGGCCATAGCCATGCCTGGCCCCAACTTTCCCTCTCACGGTCTCGCATCCCTGCAGGGCTCAGTCGGCCTCAGCTGTACCTGGCCCCAACTCTCCCCCTCGGGGTCTGGAACCCCCGCAGGGCTCAGGTGGCCACAGCCCTACCTGGCCCCCACTCTCCTCATTGGGGCTTGCACTCCCACAACTACCTCTGATGGAATGCAAACCCACCCAAAGGAGAGGGCTAGGGTTAAGGTGCCCCTACCCACCTTTCACTGGGGTGATAACTGGCCTGACAATTCCTGGGGGCTCCCGCACCACAGAGAGCACCACCAGGCCACCCACTCCTGGCAGGTGCAATTTTAGGGCATGCCCAAGACCAAGGAGCCTCCTGACCATCCCCTACAGCTCCTCCCTTACCTCCAGATGATACCTGCAGCCAGGCAATATCATTGCTTGCCTCCAGCAGCAAAACTGCCCTGTTTATATGGGCTGCCCTAGGTTCAAAATGGCTGCCTCCATCCGACACCTGTCAGCTGCTAGCTTCAGGCCCTTAAAGTGGCAGGCACCTACAGTGCCCTGTCACACTAGGGTAATTGGCATGCCTTAACCACATTATCCCTCTGGGTTGCTAGGCTTGGAAGAACTTTTAATGAACAAAATGTACCTATGTGTTGATAAGTAGACATTAGGAAAAAAAGTGCCATTCTTCCCTAACTATGGTCCTTTATATACAATACTTACATAATCTAAGGGCTGTTAAACTAGCAGCCTGTGGGTTGCACCCGGAGGAGTTCATGTACAGCCCATTGGCTCTTGGAGCCAGCCTGGTAAGCTCACTGGCCAGGCTGTGGAGAAGGGAAGCTTTGGCTGCTTTTGCAGCAGCAGAGAAGGCTGGGCAGGGAGCTCTCACTGCTCATAAGCAATGGTGGGGGGTGGTCCTGTTCTCCTGCATGGCAGTGGCAGAAGGTGGGGGAGTTGACTTCTGCTACTCATGTGGCCAGGGCAGGGGGATCCAATACAGTTACAAGGGGGCTCACAGTGCTCTGGCAGTGAAGGGATGGGGGCTTGTGCTGCCCATGCATGCATGCAGCCTCTGTGGTGTGTGGCCCAGGGCTTGCAACTGGTGTGTCATGCTGCCCCCAGCTGCTTTAAAGATGGATACCCCTGATATAAGACAATGAAATAAAAACTTCCCAAATGTCTATGTGGGGGGAAATATTCATATTAACAAAATGTTTGAGAATATATAGCTATCAACTGACAGGTACTTATCCTATTATTAAAGATATAACTTTCCTTATATTAATATATGGGTACCTTTATTTCGACATTATGGCCAAGCTTTTTAAAAATGTAAAGTTGGGCTCTATGCCCATATTTAATATCGTAAGTAATTAGCTAGATATTTGAAATTGCTCAATTGCTCTCCTTTCCACATTTGTGAGAACTACTTGCTAGTAAGTACTTGAAAAGATCAAGCAGGTGTCTAAATAATGGATAAAGAGCTGAACTGTCCACATCTATTTTTTAAATTCTTAATTAACATCTCTTTTCAGTAGCCTTCCTGTAGTTAAAGGTCAGTTATTTTCTGTTTTAAAAAGTAAACTATTTTACGTGATACTTAAAAAATGTTTTCTTTCTTGACTCACTGTAGGCAAAACAAAAAAATGGCATGTTAAATCATAGCTCTGTATCTAATTGAGATTTCATATAGATTATAACTTACTTCATAACTAAGTACAAAACATTTAGGCTTGGCAGGATTCAACCAATGGAAAAATATTTCTGTTAGTGATCATCAACATTTAGATAAAGGACTGCCACTCACTCTTCCCAGGTCCCTGTCAAGGGGGGGCCGAACTCCCATGGTGCCCAGCCTAGCCTGAATGGCCCCTGTGTGATTGAGGCAGGGGGCAAACTCCCACAGAGGCTAAGCCAGGCCAGGTCCCACAGGAGTTTGGCCCCTGCCCTGACTGGGACTTGGGCAGAGTGAGGGGCTGGCAGCACTGGGCTCCTGGGCGCTAACAGCCCTGCCCTTCCAACTGCCACTCCCAGCACAGCCTTACTGGCACAGCCCCCAGCTCCTGCAGTGGCCACCACGCATGTGCATGTGTGCGCGCTCATATGCATGCTGAATTGATAAAAATTGAAAAGCATCCCTAATTTCATGCAACCCTGAAAATTTCAATTGAGAAAAATCAAAACAAATGCTTAAAAATAAACATTGATTTTAGTAATCGAAATAATTTAAAAAAATTGAATTCTGCCAAGCCTAAAAGTATTCCATGTACCTCACATTATTATTTCCTTTTGGTAAGCTTTCTCCATATATACTCTCCCATACTGATGCTTGTGCTATAAAGATGACTCCTGAATCAACATATAGTAGTTGTGCAATAATAGCTACTTTCTAAAAGTCTGATATACTTACATCAGAAAGTTATTCAAATACTTTCTTTTTAGTTCATGTCTTTGGTCTGGAAATTTATTTCCCTTTTCAATTGCTGTAATGACAGGATATGATTTTTACCTTTTAATCAGTCACTTATGAAGTTATTTTACAATTTCCCCCAGGTTGTCTAGTGCTAAAGCATACACTTTCATAACTGGTTGCATGCAAATACATGTCCCATGCTTTGCAAATTGCAGCCCATCAATAAGGTATTCAGTTGAGGTATCATAATGAAGTATATTAATGTTCTGGCTAACTCAGCAGTTTCAGTTGATGGCTGTATGTTTTGTGCTGCCTGTAAGTGTCCCAAGATACAGAGGGTTTTGTCATGACAGAGTAAATTTTATGAAAGTTAAAATTTTTCCACTGTTGCTGTAGGCTATGGTTTTGAAGATTTTGTCTCAGTTTGGGTTCCAGTCAAGGCCCTAATCCTGGAAAGGATTCTGTTCAGGCAGGATTTGAGAGAATTCATTTGCTGTCTGAATATGGTCAAGTGTCTACCTACAAGAGGATTCTTGAGGATTGGGCCCTAAACATATTCCTTGATGGTTTGACCTGTTGCTTCAGTATGCAGTGGCATCAGCAGCAGAGAAGGTCAATCAAACAGGTTTTCAGTATCAAATGAGCAGTCTGATGGCAATGGATATGTGCTACTCTATCATGACACTTGTGCTTGCACTTAACTTTAGCATGTGAATAATCTCATTGATGTGCTCAGAGATACGTGGTCAGAGTTAAACATATATGTTGTGGATCAAGGCAGGACATACCCCATAGCTATCTTTAACTGTATCTCAGCCAAAATACGCCTGGCTTTTTCTTTCCTTGTTGATAACTAATGTATAATACAGTGTTTCCCAACCTTTTTCGCTCCACGGCACACTTACCTAAATAAAAAAGCACCGTGGCACACTGGACACACAGCAGGGGAGGAGAAGAGGTGGCGTGCAGCCAGCCAGCCACCGACTGGGGGGCGTGGGGGGCGGTGCAGCCAGCCAGATGCCAATGGGGAGGGGTGGCATGCAGCTAGCTGAACAACATTTTGGGCTGGAGCCACGCTCCCTGACTGTCTGTGTCCGCAGCCGCAGCAGGAAGCTTCAGTCCAAAATGCACACCTGGACATGCCCGATGGCACACCGGTTGGGAAACCGGCCAACCTGTCCTGTGGACAAGCTGTGCAGTTGCCAAGGGGAAAAAAATTGGTGGCATAGCATTTCTAGAGCTGATGAGTTATCAGCCGTTTGTGACTGGTTCATACCATTAGCTATGTTAATAAAAAGGAAGAGACAGCAAAATGTATTTTGCCCAGTGCATCAAAATAGCTCAGCCTGGCACTGATTGTCTTATCGGACTTAGAAAAAAACAAACTTCTCCATGATAAAGTGTGAAATACACAGTTGGCCAAAATTGACAATGAAGCTAATATGCTGTCCCCTGCTTTGTTCTTTCATATTGACAAATACTGCACAGGTGTGTTACTTTGGCTATCCAAAACTATTATTCATAAATTTCTATTTGTAGGGCCCTTATACCTATAGCCTTCTGAGTACCTAGCAAAATATTGCCTAAAACACAGCTTAGTAAAAATATATGACAATAATTGTATGAACATTAATTTAAGGCAGCTGTAGTACCTTAGAAACCCTGCTGACAGCCACAAATGTGTACTTTGGCTACAATTTTTAAAGGGAATTTGACTGTTTGTGGGGCAAGAGGCATTGATTCAACTTGCATGAGGTCTAGGAGGGAATAGATTAACTGAATTTGTTTAATAAATTAAGTAGAAATTGTGTAGAACAATGATACATGAAAACATATTCTAATTGGTCTATTTTTATTTTGTTTGTTCATTTGAATCCTTTTGAGCTGCATTGGCTTCTTTTATTAAATGTCATGTAATTGTCTATATAATTCCAAAACTAAAAAACCCCACTTACAGGCCTGTATAACTTGAAACACACCTTTAGTACAAAAAAAGGACTTGCAAACTGATCTTGCCAGATTTTGCTATTCATGTATCATGTTATCTAAACTAGCTCAGAGAAAGACTGGACAAGATGGGTCATAAAGTCCTGACAGTCACCACCTTCCTTTCTATGCTGTTTTCTCTCATCCCTACCCTCAGTGCAGCTACCTCAAGTGGAAGCTCTAAGCACTAACAACCTTTCAACAATTAAGTGCCTAATTTTGAGCATCTAAGTTGGAAAAGTTTGGCTTAAGTGATTTAGGATTACAAAAAACATCTGACTGACATTCTTTCAGAGTCAAAATACAGCCTTCTCCATACATCTGTGGCTTCTTTAAGGAAAGTTTATGTGGTGCTACAACGACCTCTTGTGGATTAAATATACGGCAACATTTAGAACTGTAATGTGACCACCTGTGAAAGAAACAGCAATAACAGTGAATCAAAATTTGGGTAGTAAGAAGATGCACATGAACACCAACTATTAAGACAGAATATAAGAATTTTACAACCTTTTCTTGTTTAAAATGTTTATGTGAACATGGGATTTGGGTAAGTTTTTAGAAGAGTGTTGCTGCTTGCTAAACCCGTTCTTTTTTAAATAACTGGTTATTATAAATTGAAAATGAATGCATCATTCTCAGTCCTTTCTGGTCAAATGGTCTTCAGAGTGGGTCTTCCCCACGTCCATAGCAATTTAATGCTGTTGAGTTTTTTGCTTTGAGCTTGTACCACTCAGGAACAACTCCCCAGTACACTCTGCTTTCAGCTGGTACACTGTGCACATTCAACATCTCTTTCACTAGCAGAGTTTTCACAGGATTAAAACCCCCCCGTCAATTAAAGATCTTTGGGTTTTCTTCTCCATTGGCTTTGATAGGTTTCTCCTTAAACTGGAAGTTAATTTTTTTTTCAGATTCCTAAGGCAGCTTTGAAGTATAGCACTTCTCAGCATCTTTAATACTCAATTGTCAGTATTCTGGTGATAGCTTTTTACACCCTGGGCACATCTACACATGCCTCTTTTAAACAGGCTTAGCCTAAAATCACCATTTTAAAGGCGCATTAAGGGCACATATCTACATGTGCATGCCCTTAATGCACCTTAAAAATGGCAATTTAAGGCTATGTGAGCCTTAAAGGCAGTGTGTATCTGGATAGACACCAAGTTAATGTGCATTAGCTCATCTTCACATGCGCTAATGAGACTTAGCTATTTGCACCTAAATTTAATGTGCTTTAATGAGCATTAGTGCATCCATGTGTAGATGCGTGCCTAAATTGCCTTCATGTGCCTTAAGCAAAGGTGCATTAAATTTAGGCACATGTAAATACCTGTGTAGACATGCCCCCTAATGCCTAATTCATTTAATCTGATATTAAACTCCTCAGCTTCCCTTTTTCATAGCTCTTTAGGCTTGAACCAGAACTGTGCCTGAGACAAGCTGAGAGTACAGTTGTGCAAATGTACATGTGTCAGTGGCATTATGCTCCCTATCTGACTGTATTCCCCCTTTCCCTTCAGAAATGACAGGCAGAGACACAAAACTGTAGCCAAAATTCAGCTGCCAACCATTATCAGAACAAGGTCTAGGCAGAGAAACTGTGGAAACAGCTTCCTGAGGATATGTGGGTGAGGTCCAGGCTGAAATGGTTGAGCGAGTGAAATTTGGTTACCAGCTGATGATTGAGTGGAGTCCACACTGAGACAGATGAGGAGGGTAGATAAAAGTTTTCTTGGCTGAAAGTTGGTCAGAATTAGTGATGGAGTAAGGCTTAAGGCGTTTCAAAGCTTGTTCATCTTTCCCCAGGCACCAAACCTCTGTTCTCACAACTTGTTGAACAGACAGGGAAGATTCATCAGAAGCATCTTGAATTCAGGAAAAGGCAAGGTCACCCCCCATAGGAAGGTGGAGAAGAAATTCTTTCTCCTAGCCAGCACATAGGCAGGGTCTGTACTTGGAATAATTAAGGCCTTGGAATAAATAATACAGGCACTTCCCTGAGCCTTTTTCACCTGTAAGGACTCAGCTGCCATGAAAGATGCCAACTTCTGTGACTACTCTGATACCAATGAATTGGCTATCTCTGGTTCATTCCTTGTTCTGTGCTATTAATTTTAGCTTATCCCAGACCCAGCAATAGGGAACATTGATTCAGATTTGTGGTTTAGTGTTTCAGATCTGATTCACTTATAAGTGGTCTTGTTTCCTCTTCCTTTCCAGGAAAAAACCAGTAATCAGGTAACTAAAGGTAGGGCATCTGTGAGGCATGACATGTCCAACATGCCATGTTCATTATGTTGCAATAGAATTCAAATGATCCAGTGTTAAACTGGAGTTTAAGAAGAAGATCAAAGCAACAGGAAAGCAGAGTTGGCAGTAATTATAGCCAAGAAACTGACAAAGTCAAAGAGGACAAAAAGGGATCACTTGTAAATGGTGGCACATCACAATACTCCCTTCCACGAACTAGACAGCTGTCCAGCAAAGGACAGTTCAGCTAGACAACCAAGACTCTACTTCCTATGATAGGTGGTTGGAGCCTCACAGAGGAATGATGTACAGGCCAAAAGAAGTTAAGAGAAAGTGAAGGTTGACAGCCAGCCTGTTATAGCAAGTGAGGCAAGCAGGCCATTACCCAAAGTTGACCTAGTCTGGCTCCAGCCATCAAATACCCACAGAGAGCAGTGGCTAAAAACAGTAGTCCAAGTTGCACTTGGAAACAAGGCATATGATATACTTACAGACTCAGGACAAAGATGGAAATAAACTGAAAGAGAACTAATTTTATTGTCAGACGGCCAGTGCACCATGCCAGGTCCAGAAGGATAGAAAAAAAGCTTCAGCTAGGAGCTGATCTGAGATAGGTGTATCAGGAGAAACACATTAGAACAAATCAGACAGCTGACAAGATGCTACCCAAAAACGTAAAGATAGCAGGTTGCATGTTAGCAGCAATAATGGAAGACGGATTTTAAATCAGCACATTTGAAGGGATATGAGGCCTAGCAAGCTGCAAGGGGCTCACAGTAAAGGCCATGTCTTTAGTGCAAGCTGTATACAGGTAACTTCTGGTCCCATCACAACAGTAAATGTATGCACAGAAGACCCAGCAACAACAAGAAGAGTCAGAAAGAAAGATGTAGCAACCTTCATGGAATTTGGAAGAAGAAGTATAGCTTGCAGGAGGGAAAAGTTAGGAAAAGGCACCAGCAGTCCAATCTGTGTGCACGTGCTGGTATGTTAGCTGTAAATGCAGTAGGCTTCATGAAGAACCAATTTCATTTCAGAGACATGCAGTGCTTTTCTATTATTTCCTAGCACAAGGTGCATGATACTGCAACTACAGTTCATTGGTCAAATTCTGCTCTCATTTTCACTAGTGTAGGTTCAGAATAGCTCAGTACCAAGTTGCTGTTTAAAATTAAAAATTGAAGTAAAATAGGTGCATATCATCCTAGTAGGACTGTTTCTTCATTAATAAATGGTGTAATGGAAAGTTATGAAATATCATTATAAAATATTTTCGTTAAGATTTCTTCAGAACATATTAAGAAAACAGGATAGGACATCCTGGGTCATAAAAATCTAGCTCCCTGCAATTGAAAGCAATCACATTACATAATCTTTTGTACACTGATAAAGCTCCATTTTAAAAATACTTACATTTCTTGCTCCTGAGGCTGCACACTACTTATTCCTACACATACACTCAAGTATCTGGCTAAGTCTGCTCTTGGGGAAAACCACCACCCCTCCAGAGCCTCAATAGACTGCAATAATGGGTGCATTTTAGCTAAAAGGCTGTGGGGCACAATGGAATGAGATGGATTTGTCCAAATCCTCCCCAGGTAGAGTTTCATCAAAAGCTTTCCAGAAATCTAGCACAAGAATGCGCAGCTGTGTCCTGTTCTCAGGAAGTGGATCCCTACCTCACTTTGGGATTTTTGAGACAGTTGCTCTCCTGGGCATGAGTGGAATGAGCGGGGAGGGCATGGGATACTAGGAAGGGATTCTGGAGAGAAAGAAGGGCTAGTGGAATTCAGGAGGTCTGTGAAGGCAAGTGGCAGTGACTGGCTGCCAATGTTTATGAGGTAAAAGAAAATAGTGAGTCAGAGGCCAGACTTTCATAGATTCATAGACATTAGGGCTGGAAGGGACCTTGGAAGATCTTCGAGTCCTGCCCCCTGCCCCAGGGGCAGGAAGTCAGTAGGGGTCATAGGATCCCAGCAAGATAAACATCCAATTGTCTCTTGAAGGTGTTCAAATTGTGTGCTTGAACCACCTCTGGCGGCAGTCTATTCCAAACCTTGGGGGATCAGACAGTGAAGAAGTTCTTCCTTATGTCCAGCCTGAATCAGTCATGGAGGAGTTTGTGACCGTTTGACCTTGTCATCCCTTGGGGTGCTCTGGTGAACAGATGTTCCCCCAAATCCTGGTGAGCACCCCTGCTAAACTTATAGGTGGCCACCAGGGCCCCCCTGAGCCTGCACTTTTCCAGGCTGAAGAGTCCCTTGGCTCTCAGCCTCTCTTCATAAGGTCTGTTTTCTTGACCTCTGATCATGCGCGTGGCTCTCCTCTGCAATCTCTCAAGCTTCTCCACATCTTGATACAGTTTGTGCTCTGGGAGCAAGTGACTTGTGCCAATGCCACCAGGCCATATTAGTGTCACTGTCAGTGAAAATCCTCTAGAGCAGCATGTCCAGCACCTGTGTGTTGGTAATGCTGTCAGGAGCCACCATCAGGTGCATGGCTAGCTGTACCTGAAAGGCTGATGGGTTAAGCTACTGAGTACCTCCAGCAACTGCTCATACATCTTTTGACCTCCCTGTCTGCGAGACTGGGAATTCAGGTAAGGAGCCCACTGGGCCAGGGCCAGAGCCTCCCATTGGGAGAAAGGGGTGGGAGTGCAGGAGCTGTGTGCTATGGGGCTAGGTGGGGCCGGCCCTGCATGCTGCCATCATGTGCAGCTGGGGACTGGGGTGGGAGTGCAGGATCTGCATGGTAGGGGGCCCCATTCACTGCCATGATGTATAGCCAGGGAGTTGGGTGGGAGTGTGGGAGCTGTGTGTTACAGGGCTGGGTGGGGCTGGCACTGCACACTGCCACCATCTGCGGCCAGGGACTGGGGTAGGAGTGTGGGAGCTGCAGCTGTGGGGCCAGGTGAGGCTGGACGCGCTCCATGCCTGAGGACGCTCCATGCCTGAGGACTTGGGTGGGAGCACTATGGGGCTGGGTGGGACTGGCCGCGGACACTACCACCATGCATAACCAGGGACTTGGGCGGCAGCTGCGTGTTATGGGGCCAGGTGGGGCTAGCCCTGCACTCTGTTGCCACCTGCAACTGGGGACTGGGGTGAGAGTATGGGGCACTGTGCATTATGGAGCTGGATAGGGCTGGAGGCTTGCTGCCACCACATACAGATTCAGGGTCTCATACACTTCTGGGACTCTGAGGGCCCCTCCCCCCAACATACACACATGCACCCCAGCAATACTATATGCCCTAACACACCCACACCTGCTCCCACCCTCCCCACCCCCACCATACCTACACCCACACCCATACCCTCCCATACACCCACACCCCAACCACATACCCCATACCCACACTGCTCCCACCACACCCATACCCTACACACATACACCCCCCCACCATACACACACATTCATTCCCAAACCACACAACCCCACATACACCCCTTTACCACTCCCCACAATATACAAGAGTAGGACTGTATTTTGAGCTATTACACAATCACTTCTAGATACATTATGCAAACACACGTAAATCAGGACAATTAAAAAAAATAAAGTTAAAATAAGTTATAGTAGATGTTTGATTTTTTTTTGGTATATGCTTTGTTTTTTTTGTGGTTTCAATATGACAACCCCCCCCCCTCCCAAAAGGAGTATTTCCGGGGCTAAGGGGAGGGACTTTTGGTGGCAAAGGTCAGGGGTTAGGGGTGGAACTTCCAGTCCCAAGACAGTGGCCAGGGGATGGGACACCTGTCAAGGGGTGGGGCTACCCTTGTGACCCTCAACAGCTCACCAAAACTTGTTAAATGGCCCTCCAACTGAAATAATTACCCACCCCTGCTCCTGACACACACACACACACACACACACACACACACACACACACACACGCACACAGATATTTGGTTGTACACTTTAACATCTTGACCAAATAGTTCAACATTTCACTGACAGTTACATTTACATTACTGCTCACTGCATCCACTTTGTTTCCCTCTCCCTCCTCTACCCAGTCCCCAAGCACACACTCACATCTCCTCTTACACCCTAAACCACTTAGAAATCCTCCCCTTTCCCTTCCCAGGCCACATTCATAGGTCTTCAGCAGTCACCTGCTATGCGTATGTTGCAAAATACCACGACATCTTTTCCTCTTCCAAGGTTCTTCTGCCTTATTCTCTCCTTTGCAGTTGCAGTTTGCACACCTCCAGTCTTATGCAGTCCTCTACTTGGAGGCTTATATGCTTGTATAGCAACAAGTTGTTTTCCACAACGCATTTTTGAAACAGGAAACAAACACATTGTTGGAGTCTATTGCTTTTTTTTCCTCCCAGGTGGCCATACAACATGGCTTCCCTCATCAGGTCTGTCACCTCTGTCACCAGCCAGAGGAATCCTTTCACTTTCCCCCAGGCCTTTCTGGCATGTAACGTTTGGCAACGGCTTCCTAATGATGCAAAAAGTGGATTAGAATAGTATATAATCCTTTTAAGGATTTATATAATTATAATTAACTCATTTTATAATTTAGCCTGTTAGCAACATGATTCTGTGAATGCATCAGAACACTGCTTTCCTGTCTATTCCCAAATGTGTGAAATATTACAGCTTTTTATTTGGAAATTATAATAAAAGGAGAATGCAAGATATTGCACAGAGACTACAAATGGACATGAATTTAACATAACCTCATGAAGGAATGTGCTATACAATAGTGTTACAGGTTAGACTGATGCATGATATTAACAGCACTGGCAGTAACAACTTAAGCTGGCTGGTATTCTAATCATCCTGGCTCTAGAAGACTGGGCTGGTATTTTAATCATGCTAGCACTAATAGGTTAGACTGGCTGGCATTATAATTGTTATGGCACTAACAGCCTGGGATAGATGGTATTTTAATCATTTTGGAACACAGCCTAGAAATGTTAATTTTTAACATGTTTTCTTTTAAACAGAAATAATGAGAGCCCTGCCCCAGCTTTTACTGATTACAAAACATTGAAACCATTTTTAATTAAAAAAATAAGTCTGCCTTGGGAGTCTTTTTATACCCACCTCTGCTGGGTGCCCTTCAGTTGCCTTCAGGTTATTTTATATCATTCCTTTGTCATCTTCCTTTTTTGTCCTGCTCCATGAAGCCTCAACAAGTGAGCCACATGCAACTTGGAATGAACTTGAAAATAATTTATCGATATAGCTGCTAGCACCATTGCTATGCATGCTACTGTAACCTTTAATTATACTTCCCTTGATTATTATTACGCTGCATATAACATAAGCTCTCTCTATTGCTGCTTGTAGCAGGGTGTCCCTCTATTAGCCTGACACAAGAGCCAACTTCCTCATGAAATCTAGGCAGCATTTAAGTCCCATTTCCAGTCTGTTTATTTTTACATGTAAAAAGCTTTCAGTCCTCATGGCAGATAAAGCAAGCAATAACACTGTGAAGAGACAGCGGGAATAAATAAGAGAATCCCGGCAGGAGCAGCGTTGGAAGGAAAAAAAGAGGAAGGAATGGGATCAGGAGAGGAGCAGAGATTCTGGAGCAGCTGCTCCATGATGCTGGGGTGATTTGGAGGAGTAAACAACGAAACTGGAGGGGAAAGAAAAAAAAGCCCGATAAGAAGAGACCCAAAAGGAGAAAAGGAGGACGCACAGAACTAACTAAAAGGAGAAGCTCCAATGAAAGTGGAGGTAGAGTTAATCTATGAGAAGAGGAAAACAGGGACCAGGGCATCCTTCTCCCATTTGGGGGATATCGGGGACAGGGGTGGCTGTTATTGTTGATAGGGTGTTGCTCTGCTAGTCAGGCAAGGTCTGGAGATAAACGAGGGAAAAGAAAAATAAAAGCGGCTAAGGGAAAAGTCACTGCAAGTCCCCAGGAAGCGGGACCATGCCCCAAAGGGAAACCAAGTAAGAAAGAAATAGAACCCAGGGCAACAAAGATAGGACTGACTCAAGAGTAATAGATAAGAAGTAACTCATTTAAGTTGAATTTAGATTTGAGTGGGATTCTGTTTGAGTTGACATTCATATGTAATTGATGTAAATAAGTAAGGATAGCCTTGGTCAGGCCTCAGTTGGAGTACTGTGTCCAGTTTTGGGTGCCGCACTTCAAGAGGGACACAGAGAATCTGGAGAGGGTTCAGAGGAGGGCCACTCACATGACTGGCCTCTGTGAAAGACCCTATGAGGGGAGGTTGAGAGATCTGGATCTCTTCAGCCTTCACAAGAGATGGCTGAGGGGAGACCTTGTAGCTGCCTATAAGTTTATCAAGGGAGGACAACAGGGAATTTGTGATGCACTATTTACCAGAGTGCCCCAGGGAGTAACAAGGAATAATGGGTGCAAACTAGTGGAAGAGTAGATTTAGTTTAGACATTAGGAAGAAATTTTTTACAGTAAAGGTGGCCAGAATTGGCAATGGGATTCCAAAAGAGGTAGTACTATCACCTAACCTGGAGGTCTTCAAGTCACTTGGCTAGGGTCATCTGACCTTGGTCCTCTTTTCTGCCCGGGCAGGGGGTTGGACACGATGATCCATTGTGGTCCCTTCCAACTCTACAATCTATGAATCTATGCTCAGTGCAAGACGATAATGGATGTAAGTTTAAGTATCAATAAATAAAGGACATTGTGAACCTGAACTGAACGATGTAAGGCTGTAATTTCTAATTAACAGCCAACAAGTTAGGCACCCTACAAAGAAGAGAAAAAGGGGAAGCAAGGTGTGTTGCAAAGGGGATCCTCTCCCTCAATATGGATTGCAAGCTATTATGACGGTAGATAAAAATTGACACCTCCTGACTTATAACATCGTATATTTATCAGGATGTGGCAAGTGAGAGTCGATAAATACAGTTATATTATCAGACGGTGCCATCTAACATATAAAAGGAGAGTAGAGTGCACCAGGTTAGATACTAACTGCCACAAACATAAATAAACATACCACTAACAAACAAAAATACAACTTTAGGTCTTTCCTTCAACCTAGAGAGAAAAGTTTCCACCACCCAGACTCAGTGCTTTTCCCTCAACATATCAATGTCCTCTCTCTCTCTTCCTCCAACTACCCTCTGGGAACTTTTAACTTCCCCTGGAGCCAACCAATCATCCCTGTCAGCTGGCCCAGGGCTCCTAGGCATTCAGCTATCATCTTCTAACCCCTTGCAGTTGGGATCCAGCCCCTGAGCTATGCACCTTGTTACACTGCTTGTATAGTAAATTGGACTGTCATCAATTCTATTGATCTTTAAAGATGTCAGTAGCTAATAATTTGTTGAATATGAGTAGAATTTATCTCAAAGCGGCCATTAAAATCTTTACATTTTACTTCTCTAACAGGTTGAGCTTTCAGATGAGTTCTATTTTAAAGCCCTGTTTTTCTCCCTTATAACTTTGTAAAAATAGAAAATTGGTGTCACATGAAATTACCATATTTACCCTGCAGGTTGTGATGAATATTACTGCAGAGATGTTCTGCACAGAGTAGAGAAATTTGGTTAAACAAATTATTATTTTCAGTTATTTCAGTTTAAAAAAAACCCCTATCACAGCATTTTGATTTGTATTTCATTTTTCTTTCTGTCTGGTTGACTCAAAGATATTTGAATCCACAGATGGATCCAAGAACCAAAGATATTTAGTCCACCTCTTCCCTGCAGACTTTCCACAAAAGTAAATCTCTCTCAAAACTTTTGCATATGTTCTGTAACATGAAGAAAAACAACTTGTAATTACAAAGACTTTGATCTGTCCAGTATTAATAGGAACATACAAGCATAGGCCTGGAAGGGGCCTCCTGGACCAGGAAGTCCAGTTCTCTGCATCTGCAGGCAATTGGTAACCAAAAGGATCCTCCCGAACTTGCCACCAAACCCTTCCTGACAAGTACAAAGAACAGTATTTGAAACACCAATAATACCCTATAACATGCTACAGGTAAAAACAGAGGAGGCAGGGACACCATGCATGTTCTTCCAAAGCCATGACAGGGAACTAGGCAGTTCATGCATGTTTAAAGACCCTAGAGCTCTTAACTCATGGCTGTAATTGTTATAATGTATATGAGTTCATTTTGATTTCTATGTCTGGTTATACTTATACGTAAGAATGGGCCCTTCACTACTTTAGCAGAGGTTACACAAAACTTTTGTATTGTTACCATCTCTCATGATTTGAGAGTTTTGTGATTTTGATGGGAGGTTTGATTTTGTGACCTTTTAACAACTGTGATTGGGAATGCTGCCTTTTCCTCTCATTCTGAATATATCTTTTAGGCGTTTTTATAAATATTTTTGCCTTTATTTTAAAATTTCTGTCTACTATTTGGCTCTCCCCACTTGCTCCCTAATCATCAGGAGCTCAGCCGCTCTTTCAAAATCAGTTTGTAAACACAATGTCTACTTTCAACTAACATTCTTCTATTAAAATCTAACTTCATAACAATCTGTAGTTCTTAATCTAGTTTCAACAATAAGAAAATGAATTAAAAATAGATGGAAGCTCTCAGACTGCTAGTGCAACAGAATCTGGGCACTTTGAAAAGGGAATTTGTTAAAACAATTGCTTTTTCACTTTCTCCAGTCCCTCCAAGGCAACTTTGTTTTATTTCATGTAGGATTTATTAAGATGCTTATGGCAAGATTCAGGAAAGCTGAGACTTGACCCCCCAAACACTTTATTTCCCCTGATCCTCAAGCAACAGCCAGAGATAGCTACAGGATAGGCTTGATATTTGCTCATTTTCACTATCTCATGTCCTTTCAAGAACCAATACCATTCTGTGCATGGAAATGCTGAACTCCCATGGTAAATTAGCTGTAAGGAAATTGATTCTTTGGATAGAGTATGTAACAAGTATCATGGTTTTATCCCATTGTGCATAAATTTGAACAGCAATAGGAACACTTGAAGGATATTTTGAAAACTTTGGATGTAAAAATGCCAGGATGCAATAGAGATGGTCCAGTTATTTGTTGTCAGCTGATTATCTTAGCAATGTAACTCTCTTGAGCCTGCTAACTTATTTATTTATTACATATATAGTAATTATTCATAAGTACATGCCAAAACAGATCACAGATATTTATCTGTGAAATATTTGCTTCAGCCATTTGCCATGTGATTGGTCACATAAGTTAAATAATAGTATTGATTGATTACTTCTGGATTGAGAGGCTAATCATTTTAAAGCAAAGAACAATAATACAAATAGCAAATATGTCACTATCAATGAGAGCTATTTTTCATTATAAATAATAATATGGTAGTGGTAGTCATCTATTTATGTTAAAAAAATTAATGACTCTTCTCTTTTTCCCCATTAGTAGTATATATGCTACTATGACTGTTGATTACACCGTAAGGGCATAAATAAAATAATTAAAAATGATCTTGTACAAAGTCTGAATTGTAAATGAGACACATACTGGAAAAAC